GAGCCTGCTCTTTAAATGCTGAGCGTCTGTGAATCTCAAGGTTTTCTTGAAAGTAACTTGGTCATTGTTAAAAAGAATAGTTATTCACAGTCAATTCGTGAAGTGAATTGGAATTTCATATTGAGCTTACAAAAAGTAAAATGTTCAAAAAACGCCAGGATTATCAGGTTCCAGGTCTATTCCTGGGTGAAGGGAGAATCCAAGGAAACACATTTACTTCCACATGTCGTAAATCAACAGTCGTGACATGGAGCATCACTCATCTTCATCAACATATTCCCTGTGAGCAACCAAAAACGTGTGTGCATCTGAAAGTGCAAAGTCATATGAGTGCATTTCTTTATGCCCTTGCAGGGATGTGCATTTCTCGCGCTCACCGATGTATTATTCAGTGCACCATGAAATATTTATCAGAGGTTTGTCTCAGCAGTGCCAACCACAGTCTGTCAGCGGGTTCCCTGGTGCCTCCTGACAACTTAAAGTTGTCATCATTTAAATAAGTTTGATACCAGTGCTGGTCAAACTGTCCAAGCCTTTCATTAAGAAGTTGAATCAAAAATCAGAAAAACTGTGTTGCTTCCACTACTTCAGAAAAATCCTTCTATGGCCCAAATATGTCTAAAACTCACAAATGGGCATGATTGCTTTGTCATAACCCTTTCTGAACAAATGCAACACTCAACATTTCAGGCAGCTTGCTAACTTCTCAGTGGAATCAGTCTCTTTGGGTTGATTCTGTTTCCTCATGCAATTCCAGGCTGACTCAGTGATGCTGAGAGAAGAAATCTGTGGGAGCCACACCATCTGTGGCGGGACTTTTCTTTGCATTGCGGAGGGTGGTTCTTTGGGACTCTGGCTGTTTGTTGTGGCCTGTTGTCACGGCACAGCATGAACTTGGGACTTGACGTATTGTGTTCGTTTTCTCTCTCTCTCTCTCTCTCTCTCTCTCTCTCTCTCTCTCTCTCTCTCTCTCTCTCTCTCTCTCTCTCTCTCTCTCTCTCTCTCTCTCTCTCTCTCTCTCTCTCGTCTCTCTCTCTCTCTCTCTCTCTCTCTCTCTCTCTCTCTCTCTCTCTCTCTCTCTCTCTCTCTCTCTCTCTCTATATATATATATGTTGAGAACACAATATTTCACACTCATCCTGCATGTTCGAGCATGTATATGCATGTACTGTATATACACACACACACACACACATACAGTATATACACACTATCATCGATTATGTGATGCAGATTGCTTTAAACCCTGGAATAAATATTCAACTCTACAGCTCCTCCAAAGGCATCACAAGCTAAAATACGGACCCATAATCGATTTTATCAACTAGATTGAAGGCGTGCATTGGACCTGTCATTTTTAGTATTTTTTCAGATTTTATTATCATCTGCAGAGCACTTTTCCCACAGTCTGACTATTGCATGGGGGAACTAATTTATTTATTTATTCATTTATTCATATTTTTCAAATGGTTTGCAATTTTACATTGTCCTAAGGACTGCTGTGATTGAAGAACTTTCAGGGGGGATTCATGTTGTTCCAGGCATGTTTTTTTTATTTTAAAAAAAGCAAATATCTGACATCTTCTCTTCAATGATGAATTAGCCCGTATCAAATAATTGTGACGCATCGTGATGCATTGATATGTTGAATCATTGATGTGACCGTAATTGAATTGAATCATGTGACCAGCAATGATGCACACCTATGGTGTGAATGTTATAATGAATAATCATGAATACTGAAAAGTGTTTAGAGTGCCCAGAATGCGCTATATAATTTTAATCCATTAGCTAAAAGTTTAAGTCCCATTAGTCATTGTTACGTCCCCGACAGGAGGTGTTAAAATGTGAAGGAGGGGTAACATAAGAAAAATGTTAGTGGGTTTAAAATGGGTTTAATTGTTATAAAAGGTTTTAAAAACAAGTGCAAACAGATGGTAAGCATTATTAAAATAATGCCACACAAAAATCAAGACTAAAAGGTTAACATTTAAAGGATGAATTAACATTAAAACCCCTCGTTAAAACTTTGTTAAAAGTTTTAATGAAACTGAAAAAGGTTTTAACAAATCTCAAAGTTGATGATACAAACTGACGCACTACGAAAACACCGAGTGTTGTAAAATCCCAAAGTCGGTAAATTATGATGTTAACCTTAAAAACAATACCTAAACCAAAACGATCACATAGATCTTCTGAAACACACACAAGGGGTTTAAAACAAAGCGTAAGGCCTGAAGAACAGCAGAACCCCTAGACTGCTGAAGGCACAGCCTTCTTATCCCGGGTGTGTGTTGTCAGAGGGATTCAGCTCAGCTGTGCTCCTCAGCAGCCTGGAAGAGAGGATGGGCGGTGTCGGGCTGATCACCGGGGATGGGTGATCCTGGCTCCTGCACCTGAAGAGGCCAGGTTGGTGGCAATAACAGTCATCATCACACACTGGTGAAATTCATCTCTGCATTTGACCCATCCCTGTGGGTGGTGAGCTGCAGCGGCTGAGCTCGGGAACTACTTGGTGGTTTAACACCCCACCCCCCCCACCCCCCACCCCACCCCCCAACCCAACCCCTTTAAAGCTGAGTGTCAAGCAGGGAGGCATTGGGACCCATTTTTAAAGTCTTTCGTATGACCCGACTGGGATTTGAACCTCGATCTCCCACACTGAACACTCTACCACTAGGCCACTGAGAAAGTGTAAGACCATGAATAAAAATGCATTCTCCAGTTTGACGAGACATGATCTTTTTTTTTTAATATAAATATGGTGAATTTTCCATGTGAAAATAATTTTTTTCTTTAAATTCTCAAACTAAAAGTGCAAAATAAAACATTTAAAAATGAGGCAAAATATGCTAGCGTCATTGGTTCTTGTTAGGCACGAATGAACCAACTACCAGGCTGAGTTTTCACTCTTACAAGTGAACGAAATTATTATTAAAAGACATGCAAACTCCGTTCAACATTCTATTCATGCACTTGCAATTTCAACATATTAAATGCGTATCGTCCTCCACAAACGCGTCACAGATGAACTCATGTGAATCCAGACGGCTACATCCTTTTGTTTTGTTTCGCTCTTTTCTATGTGGCAGCTGTACTCCTGAGCAGTGAGCCAAATCTACTGCAGAACGAAAAACAAAACACTTTAAACAAAACCAGGAGAACATGTCAAGCTATACTTCCTTATGTCTAATGTTATTTGGTGTGTAAAAAAAAAACAAGAATATATACGTCAGTGTGAAGCCACCGCTTAAGGGGACGTCAGAATGAGTCCCTTCTCTTGGAGGAGAGTCAAATGCTATCTCTTTCGACGTGTCACATGTTTTATTCTTGGCTTTAGGGGGCTGCTAGATTCCGCAATAGAAGCCAGAACAATATATGAAAAAACACAAAAAACAAGTATACATGCGAGGCATGCATGAAAATGCCTGTTGGTCTGGCCTTGCATTCCCTTACACCCTCTTCTACCCTCTTCACAGCTTTGAAATAGCCTTGCAGTAGCTAGTAGATGTCGCTATGCATAAAATGACAGCAACATCTCCAAAGGCAGGAGCAGGCTCTTTCATGCTGAGGAAGCTGTTTGGCATCCCTGGTCGGAAGGATTGCGTAAACACATCCAGACGCACACAAACAACAAATAAATGAATACAAATGGTCTTGTTGGGTTCCTAGTTCACCAGGAGGGCACAGGTTCCTCTGAGGTTGTGCAACAAATTGTGATGTAGCTTCGACACACTTACAGAAATGAATCCAACTAGATAAAAATAAAACTGACTGTTTGATGTCTGTCTACTGACTCTAAAATAGCCTAGTGTAACATAACACCAGTGGTGGTTCTCTCTTTCCTCTCCAAAAGCACTTGACAGAATGTGCTTGACTTCTGACAGATGTATGTGTGCACATGCATTAGTGTGTCTGGAAGTGGGTAGGTCATCATAATAAAGCCTTGCTGGTGGCTCAGAACTCCTCAAAGTCATTTGCAGCTCAATGAAAGCAAACCAGATAGGGGAACAATATAAACACAACTCTTAGGTTCTCGATCGCTTTAAACGGAGACCCTAAGGGTGCATCCTCCTGTTTTAGCAAGCTAGCAACACTCACTCAGCTCATAATCACAAAGTAACTGCATCTAGCCGTATCTACAGTAAATGGCGAATAAAACTCTAAATGTTACACGTCTGAAATCGGCCTCTGCGGCTGTCTGTGTCAAACCACATGGTGTCACATGGGAGCGTCAGAAAATGAGAACGGTTTGGTCCGATTGCTCTAAATGATGTAGGAAACTGCTGCACTGAAAAAAGTGTTTCTTTGAAAAAACTTGAAAAAACCATGTCAACTGGTAACACACAGTTGAATCAAGTTTGTTCAAAGTGAACTATAAAGTTTGATTAAAGTAAGATTTTCATTTAGATTTCTTTAAAATTTTAAGCTCATTAAAATTATCCCAACTCCTTTGGTCCAACTTAAAAATGACAAGTTAATTGAAATTACCAAACTACCTTGGTGTAACTTAAAAATTTCAAGTTCATTGAAATTATCCTAACTCCTTTGTCCAACTTAAAAATTTTAAGTTTATTGAAATTATCTTAACTCCTTTGGTCCAATTTATAAATTTCAAGTTAATTGAAATTACCCAACTACTTCGGTCCAACTTAAAAATTCACAAAAAATCAACTCTATATATATTAAAAAAACTCTTTGAAAGAACTTGAAGAAACCATGTCAACTGGTAACACACAATCTAATTAAGTTTGTTCAAAATGAAATACAAGGTGTGACTAAAGTTAGAATTTCATTCTGATTACATTGAAATTTGAAGCTCATTTTAACTACTTGGTCTAACTTGACTAAATCAACTCTATTTTCTACTACATTGTTTTTACTTTACAGTGTAAAACTACAAATTAAACAATGTGCGCTTGTTCCTACATAAAATTTTGCCTTCTAACTTTGTAAAAATAAGTACAAAATACATGAAATGTTATAGAAAATACAATACGCAAAATGTAACAAAATTTAATACAAATGCTCTCACAGTTTAACAACACAATGACTTCACATAGTGAATTGCATATAACATCAAAAAGCCAGACATTAAAACTGAATTGTAAACATTTTGGGGAATACCATTGAAGGAAGATAAATGTAATAGCTCGTTATTTTCAGCTGGCTCTGAACAAATCTAACACAGTACAAAAATGACTGAACAATACCTATATCACAAGGAAATTCCAGTGCCTGAGGGTGTACTGCAACTCTCAGTTCTGTCTTTGCTTCAATACACCTGAATAAAATGGCTGAAAAACCTCAGTATGCAGTTCAGGAATCCATAGCCCTGTTAATGACCAGATTATTTGATTCAGGTGTGTTGAAGCAGAGACACAATTAAACGTTGCCGTATACTGGCACTCGAAAACTAGAATTGCTAAACACGGGTTTAAAAAGTCAGCTGATGTACCATCAATGGTGCCCTTTTAATTTGAACCATAGGCAAAACTCATTTCACTGAAACCTACATGCAATCCAAAATCCATGGCTGAACCAGAATCAAAACCAAGATGCAGCAAAAGAACAAATCTAAACTGAAGTGCATATAAAAAACAGAGTAGATGACACTTGGCTTTAAAGGGATTTTCCAATCCTAAGTAAAACTTTGGTAAATGAGAAAAAAAAACATTCTGTAACAGCCCAGTTTTTCTCCTGTTTTAGCAGCAGTCTATTTGCTTCGTTTTAGCCCAAAAACAATATAAATTAATTTTAACAAAAGCATTTCATTCCCCTTTACCTTTATTGTTTTATGCTCAACTAAAGTAAACTGTCTGTTGCCAGATCAGGAGAATGACTGGACTGGTTACAGAATGTTTTTTCCCCTCACTTATCTAAGTATTACTTAGAATTGGAAAATCCTAGAAATTCTATTTTCAAATTACTTCACCGTCAGTGAACAATCAAGGCTTAGATTATAGTTTCTGCACCATGCTGGGAAAAAAGACAGCTACAAACAACATACCTGTGCTACAGGTACATTTTGGAAAAGGAAATGGCAAAAACTGATCTTGTGGTTGCAAACCACCAATATTAATTCATATTTAGCAGTTTCACATACAGGTTCTGCACCTTTGGAGACATCTTTTGAGGTTCCAGCTCCATTATAATTTTCTGCAACACCTCAAATGTAAAGCGAAGGACCTTTGGATAAGCCAGATTAAGAATGTAGATCAAACCTAACAGGAGTGCACATGCTGTTCCAACTGAGGACAGTCTATCAAGAACCTCTACTCCTTCGATTACAATCCCAATGTCCTCAGGAGGCCCTTGAAGTTCATCTCCCTCGGACCGGATGACATACACAGCCATCGTGACGTCTTCCAGGTCTTTTTGCATCTCTGCTCTGTGACTGTCCTGCAAAACAACACAAAAGTCTGTCAGCTGGCACATTTAGCTTATCATGGCTGGAATCGTCCCTGTACCGAATTTTATTTTTATATTAATCCTTCAACAAAATTTCAATGGATATTTCCTTAGACCAGGGATTCCCAAAGTGTGGTGCGCGCACCCCGTGTAATGGCTGCGGAGCTCAGAGAAGTCTGTCATATGTCACCATTAGCGTAGCCAGAAACTCATTTGTGGGTGGGCCTAAGAAAAAGTAAGTGGGCACAATAAATGTAATTGAAAACAAGTATATTTTTGCGCGTGTGTGTGTCCTCCACATGTGCCCTAGCTTCATAATAACAATGCGCCGAGCTTCAGCACTCTGGCCTGCGCACGCCGATATGTTCCATATTTGATCATTTTTAACGATGTTGGAGGAATCTGAAGGTGAGTCATTCTGGCAGATTGTAATTAACATCCCGTCTCATGCAGGTGTTCTGACATTGTAAACACCGCGGTCAAGTGACCCAGTCACATAACCAACATGGACGAAGTGCCGCTCACCGTTGACATCCCGGTGAATCACACTGTTGAGAAGAAGGGGACTAGCACGGTACCGATACGCACAACGGGACGCAAAAAATCTGCATTTACTGTTGTGCTTGGCTGCCATGCTAATGGACAGAAACTGCCACCTATGGTGATTTTTAAGAGAAAGACTCTGCCTAAAGAGAAATTTCCAGCTGGAGTCATCGTCAAGGCTAACGAAAAGGGCTGGATGGATGAGGACAAAATGAAAGAGTGGCTGAATGAGGTGTATGTGAAGAGACCAGGCGGTTTTTTTCCACACGTCACCGTCCCTGTTGATCTATGACTCCATGCGCGCTCATCTCACGGACGATGTGAAAAAACGGGTAAAGCAAATTAACTCGGAGCTCGCTGTTATTCCAGGAGGCTTGACAAAGGAACTCCAACCGCTGGACATTGGCGTGAACAGGGCGTTCAAAGTAAGGCTACGAGCCTGGATTTGATGATTAATTACTGGTAATAGCGCTCAAATAAAGCACAACCAAACTCATATTTGCTCCCACTGCCTTTTTTAATAAAACACAATTCAAATCACACTATTTTCTTAGGCCTTTTAATAACAAACATATGATTTTGTTCATGTGGAAAGTTTATGTGGTTAAATCTACCAACTAAACACATTCTGAACTTCAACACAGCGCATAAGGGGATGTGAATCTTCCGTTTTGTTTTGCTGTGCCAGGTTGGAGGGAATTAAGGTTATTTAAGTGGTTCAGAGTTTTAAAAAAAAACAGTAGATATGTTTCACAAGGTGCTGCTAGTTATGTTAAATCTTACTTCTGATTTTACTATTTAAAACAATAATAATCAACTTCTTCATGTTTGCTCAGAGATGTACAGAGCTGTTGTCCTTCGGGAGTGCTGCAGGAGGACACACAGGGATATATGGGGGTTGGATGAGGAAAACGAAATAAAGCAAAACTGTTTTGTGATCAGTTTAATTTGACATGAACACGACAAACACGCTTCCTTGACAATCTTTGTGAGTAAAAAAAACGTGTAGAAATAAAAACGAACATGTGATATTAGAGAAATAGCGGGCAAGCGGTGTTGATGCATGATTGCGCATGCGCCGTGAGCAGTTCTGGTACTTTTTGGGTCTCAGCCGCTTGCTGCACCACTTCAACCGTGCAATCGTGAGCTCGCACGGACTTCTGGCGTGTTATTTTGCTCGTCCCTCGTGAGGATATCGCAAAGTTGAAGCGGCGCTGCGAGCAGCTGCGACCCAATAAGTATCAGAACCGCTCACGACGCATGCGCAATCATGCATCAACACTGCTCGCCCGCTATTTCCCTAATAACACACGCTGTTCGTTTTTATTTCTACACGTTTTTTATTCACAAAGATTGTCAAGAAAGCGTGTTTGTCTTGTTCATGTCAAATTAAACTGATCACAAATCACAGATTTACTTTCTTTATTTCGTTTTACTCATCCAACCCCCATAAATCCCTGTGTCCTCCTGCAGCACTCCCGGTGTACGACCGGCTTTAGTAGGAGGGAGACCCGCAATTATCGCTTTGTCACGCGTGTCTCATTGAAAATGAATGGAGGAGAGGCGAAGTTGCCTCCCGAGTGTCGAGCCCATTAGAAGAGCACGAGCCGTCAGCGCACGCAATGAGGAAGTGCACGTGCGCTCTAAACCAGGTCTGAACCAGGACTAGACCAGTAATGGGCTCGACACACAGGAGGCGACAAACGACCGCGATCAGCGAAATTTGTCGCTGTCGCTTTTATTACCTGTCACACGGGAGGCGATCCGCGGCAGCGGCAAAGCCGTCTACGCGTTCTGTTCCATGGCGAAATCGAAACTTCCGTTGTTTTGCTTGGCTGTGTCAGGTTGGAGGGAATTAAGGTTATTTAAGCGGTTCAGAGTTAATAAAGTGGTAGATATGATGTTTCACAAGGTGCTGCTAGAGTTATGTGAAATCTTACTTCTGATTTTAATATATAAACATAATAATAATCAACTTCTCCATCATGTTTGCTCGGAGGTGTACGGAGCATCCTGTCCGCTCATTGGTCAGTGAATGAAACCTCCGTTGATTGGTCCTCGTCCGAGCGACAGCGATGAAAAGTTGAAAATGTTTCAACTTTCTGGGATCGTGTCGCTGGATCGTCCGTGCACGACACGTGCACGAGTGCAAACTTTCACATGCACGTTTTTCGCTTGGTAGGAGAGAGACCCGCGATTATCGCTTTTTCGCACATGTCTCATTGAAAATGAATGGAGGAGAGGCGATGTCGCCTCCCGTGTGTCGAGCCCATAAAGTGAAGCATGCTTTTGGCTGTTATAATTTTCACAATGTCTGGTTTGCACTGATATGTTCCGAGTCCCGAACCCGCACAGATGTTTTACCGGTACGTTTTACCGTGCCCACGCCCGCACCCTATAACCTGGTGCGCCTTTTGTATGTGTTAAATACCAAAAAGACACGTAACTGAAGCTGCGCCTTATGGTCGTGAAACTACGGTATTTTCTTTTAAAAGAACCGCAGTCTGCGCACAAAGTAAAAAAAAAAAAACATCAACCTTTGTTGTTTTCTTCCGTGATATCCCACGCTATCCTCAATGCTGTCCCCCTGTTTACCTGCCTTCCTTCCCCCCGCCTGCTGTCTCCGCCCATGGCCCGATTCCTCAGACAGCAATCTGAACACAACTGGACCGAGACCGGCCGAGTGATGCTGGGCCAAAGTGAGCTGATCTGATCCTTGTGTGAAAGCGCTATGAGGCTGCCACGTCTGGTAATTTTTGGTATTTTAGTAAAACTTAATTTTCTACCAAATATTGTCCTTGTGGTGCCCAAAAGGACAATAGTTCTAAGCTAAACACTTTATACACACAATCATTCAGAACATTTTTATTTACCCGTTTAAAGATTTACTTACCGTGTATTCTTTGATGAAAGCATTTCCATCCTCTCCAAGGAAAGGGACGAGGGCTTTCAGGACACACTCTCTTTTTTTGTTGACGTCTTCGGTCTAGTTTTGAGAGATACAATGTAATAAGAAACAAAGCCAACATTGTGTTTTTCTTTGGTTACTCATCATTGGTCTCCTGAATTTAGTTCACCTGGTCAAAGATTTGTGTCAGCCCAGATATCTTCTCCCTGGTTGATCCTCCTCTTGAGCGAATGGCGGTCATCAATTTGGTGGAGTACTTGTCAAGTTGGGAAAAAAACTTCTGCTCTAGGGGAAGAGCTACAAGCCTCTGGAACTCTGCATTGATCTGCAAGAAAAACATAAAAGCTTTAATATATAAAGCCTCTGTCAACGATTAAATTAAATAACAATGTCTTCTTACCTCGCGTTGATCAAAAAGAGCCGGCCATCGACCCTTAAAATCCTGGATTCTTGGCTCACCGTCCACCACCTCTTGTCGCCTGTATGCAAAAGTGCGTGCCATTTTGTCTGCAATGACCCGGTCATTGTGTCTTATTTTCACTTCAGTCAGAAGTGAAAGTCTTTCCTGTTCAAGGGATTCGGAAGTGTCCCCAGTTGGCAAAGATGGATAAAAGTTAGCTTCTGCCCTTTTAGGCCTTTTTACGTTTCTGCCAGAAGATCCTTCTGTAACTTTGGACTTCATGGAGTTAACAGCTACCTCTGGGCACCCGTGCAGTCTGAGCTGGGTTCTAAGATTTCCCATTTTGTACTTGAGCCTCTGCTTCCATCCGTACCATCCATTTGAGGATCCAGGTTCCTTCAAACACGGATGTTTTTTGATTAAAGCTTCTGCCACTGCAACAAAGTGTTCATCACATGGATAAGCTTTGTACTTGAAGATTTCTTCAGATACTTTGTTCAGAATGTCAGATTTGGTTCTTGTGCTGAGATACACCAATTTGGAGGATGATTTGTATTCAGCATTTCCCCTTTCAAGCACAAGCTCGGTGTCATACGAAAATTGTGGAATAGGAAACACCGCCGGCCACTGCACGCTTCGAAATGACAGTTTTGGAGGAGAAGGGAGTATGTTTGTGTTGTTTGATGCCTGTAAAGAGCAATCAACAGCATCAAAAGTGGCACAAGCTGATGAAACATCATCAGTAAGTGTGATTATGAGTGGAACAACTTCCTGTTGAACCACCTTGATTGTTCCCAAATCCTGCAGTTCAGAGGTTGCGTTTAGATTGAAGAACTCATTTCCAAAATCTTGGTCCATGTATTGCAGGCGAATTTCTGTTGTGATTCCAAAGGTGTTCTTTACGACATTGACAAGTTCTAATAAAGACTGGGGTATACCATTTGGAAGAATCAATTTTTCCACATTGTTTTCGCCCAAGATGACTTTAAGTCTTGCTGCACCCATGGTAATCTGAAAAACAAACAATTGGCATGAGTCTCTACTTCATGTTCTTAAGGACAAAAAAAAAAGTACATGTAAAGCTTAGGGTTAAATACCCCGTTCTGAAATTAGCATCAAAATATCTAAAAAACAAATTGGCCGTAAAATGTGATCTGATATTCTAAGCAACAACAATAATCAGTCTGCCTTAAAATACCACACATAGAATTATGTGTTTTCAAACTAAAATAATGCATTAAGTAAACATTCAGAGTGCACGTGGAAAAAGTATGTGAACAATAAATAGTTGAAGCTCCTTTGACAGCAATAACTGTTCAATAATGCTCAATGAGGAGAAGAATCCAAGCATCAGCTAAAGACTGAAAGAAATCAATGGGATGTGCCAACAACCCTTTTAGCACATATTCTTTGGACAAATGGAACCAGAATTGAGTTGTTGAAAGAACTACCCAACACTGCGTGGAGAAAAAGAGGCTCAGTACACCAACATCCGAAACTCATCCCTACTGAGAAGTATGGTGGTGGGGCATCGTGGTTGAGGCTGCTTTGCTGCGTCAGGGCCTGGGGGGATTGCTCTCATGGAAGAAAAGATGAATTCCTAAGGTCTGATCTGAACTACAGGAAACATTTGGTTGAACTTCTTACTGCCAAAAGAGGTTCAATCCGCTATTAAATCCAAGGGTTTACAAGCTTTTTCCACCTCCACTGTTAATGTTTACATGGTGTGTTCAATAAAAAAATAAAAACAAAATTATTTTCGTGGTTTTAGTTTCAGCAGACTGTCTATTGTTGGGACTTTGATGAAGATCAGATCACATTTTAGGACCACAACGGGCAGAAATCCATGAAACTCCACAGGGTTCACAAACCTTTTCCTGCAACTGTATATAAAGATTCTTTAACTAGTTAATATGACACAAATATTCCAATTACAAGCATTGCATACACATCATTCTCCTCACCCTTTAAACATGAATGTATCTTTTTAAAGTGACAAGGCGCATTCCTCCAATTCTGTAGTCAACAAGGGGGTATCTGTCAAGCAGTTCTTTAGGCTCCAGAACTTCTACTTCCTTGTTTGGAGAACATTTTAGATCATATGATCTAAAATGTTCAATGTACCACACACTGAGCTTTTTGACAACAAACAGAGGGTTGTTGTGAAGAATGACCATGTGGATAATCTCACAAAACTCTGGTAGTCCTCCCAGCGAGCCATGGACCAGGATCATTCCACATTTGTAAAGAAGTCCATTGTGTGTCACACTTTCAGCAAAGGCAACGGTCTCTACATTTACAGACTTTTGTTTAAGAGCGCTTACAATGTCCTTGTTCAGAATGTCCGTTTGAACGTTGGTGACAGTGGAAACTTCCAATGAAGGTTTCAAAACCTTGCAGGACTGTAGGTGGTGAGCCATCTGTAGCTGGTGTTTTTCTGCAAGCGTGAGCAACACATTTTTGAAGCATCTGACGTTCCTTGCAACTCTCTTAAAAAAGCTGTGCTTTGACTCAAAGCGCATTGTCCAGAGGGCAACAAGTGGTCCATACTGACGTATCAAGTGCGGATAGTGCTCAAGGAAGTGATGCTTGGGCTTAAGTTCACAGTCAGTAAAGACCTCTTGGAATTTGACCCTGTGCTCTGAAATCTTAAAATCAAGATATGCAACGGACTCTTCTGTCTGAACTGGACAAACTATTATTTCAACAATGTCCTTTAAGTCCAAAAGAACTTGCCAAGCTGGCTCCTCACAAGGAACACTTTGCCCTAACAACAAGGGAAGAAATCGAAGCAAACTCCAGTTCTCATGGGCATTGCCGCCCACAGTCTTTTTTGATGCAAAACTCTGAGCAACAGGGTGAGGTCTGTTAGTTTTGTCACTCCATTTGAAGTTGAATGATGATATTGCTTCATTCAAAGCAACTAGTGTGACATATTTTTTTTTAATGAAAACTCCAAGGCAAAGGGCAATTTCAAAAGGAACTATGCCCTCAAAAACATCATGGGCAAGGTCCGGTGGAAATCCTTTGGTTAGATCAAAATACAACAGTTCTGACAAGACACAATTTGACTTGACACCATAACAACTGGATATTTCAGTTCCTTCAAGACTTTTTAGGTGATCTGAATGAATATTTTTGTCTCTTAATGTAAATGTTCCTCTGTTAACCTCAGTTGTTTGATATTGAGAGGATTTTGCAGTGCAAAAGCGACAAATGTAGTCTCCAGTAAAATTCTCTACAAACCCAGCAATACCATGTGCAGCGAGGTTGTCAGCCACTACACATTGAAGGGTTCCTTTGAGGGTTTTACCTAACTTTGGAACATACAAACCACTCTGTTCCAAAAACAGAAGATCTCTTATTAGAGGCTCTAAGACTTTTGCATAACTGTAAGACTTTAGATCATTGCTCTTAATTAAAGCTGCCAAGTAAATAGACGACAATGCAGAGTTACAACCGGGGAGCAAATTACCGAGAGTCCAATACAATCCACAAATTTTGTGCTTTCTTTTAGATGTCCCAAGGGGATTGCATATCTCAAAATCATCAATGTATAATATTAATGAAATGCTTTCCTCGTTTGAGAGAACTTTTTCTTTGAATATGGCACCATCAAAAAATGACTTGTAAATGCCTTCTCCTGAGTCTTTATGTAATGTTTGTATATGCTCTGTTTGACTCAGTATTGCTTCACAGTCCAAGATTTCCTGTAGAGTCTTTAAAATTGAAATATACTGAAATGACTTTCCATTTTTTTTATCAAGAAAATATTCTAACGGTTCAACTACACCAAAATGTCTTCTATAATAAGCCTTTCGCCTCCAAACACTGGAGAGGGGCCCTTTTTTCCTTATTGCCTTTTTAACAGGGTTTTTGTCACAAACTGCACTTGCTAAATTTTCCACAAGTAAATGGTCAAAAGGACAGTTATTCTGTTGAAGTATTTGCACAACTGTATTCTTAGTAACTGGTACACAGAGCGAACCGATCAAATAACTCAACTCTTGTAAGAGCTCATCGACTGCTGCATTAGACACAAGAAAAACACTTTCTAACTTAAGAAGAACTGAAGCAAGTTTGATCTCAAAATCCTTCTCTAACTGCTCAGCATCATCATCTAAAGTTTCATTACAGCCAATACTGCTTTCCCCATCTGAGAAAACAGCAACACTGGCAGATAATTCTTCAGGGTTTTTTGTAAGTAAAACTATTTCTGGTTTAAACTCATCAACTTTACCAGAATGTTTTCTGTATTTATGACTTTTGTAGTTTTCATAGACATTTGTTTTGTAGAAACAGTTCTGGTACACACAAGTGACACACACTTTGTTTTTAAGATGAGCAAAAATATGATGAAAGAAATCCCTTTCTGTAGAATGCAGACTACAAGAACAAACGGGACATATATATGCTGATGCCTTTGTTTGTGGTTTAAAAGAGGAATGACATCTTGCTAGATGGCTCCGTAAAGCATTCCAAGTTTTGAATCGGCAGGCACAACTTAAATAGGTGCATGGATAAGAATGACCTCTTCCATATTGTCCGTGGCTTAGTTTGTAGTGCCCAAGCAGTTGAGATCTTCTTGTGAAGACACTATGACAGTCTTTGCAACTCCATGCCATTCAATTTGACACTAGAAAAAGAAGACAGATGGACCACTTGTTACAAATGAGTTTGTCCACACTTTTCTCCTCCTTCAGGAAGACCACTGTTTAAACACCAGTCAATGAGAGCTTCAGAGGTTAATAGTTTTGTTGCAGATTAAAAAGTTGTTGCATCAGTTTAAATGTAATTTACCATATTTTCACGACCATAAGGCGCACCTAAAAGTCTAAAATTTTCTCCAAAATGTACGCTGCGCCCTGTGGTGCGGTGTGCCTATTGTGTTGTTGTGAGAAGCGAGCGTAGTAGAAAACAAGAGGCGTGGCGTGAACGTGCGGACGTGAGCGAAGACAGACCTGTGGATCTGCTACATCATCATCAACATCCTCGCTATTTGCGTCAGACTCCGGCTGTGAGTCTCCGTCCACTTCCTCTTCTTCCAGTTAAAAAAACAGCCGTACTATCTGAACTGCCTGGTGGACATTTATCCTTCTCATCATCCTTTATTAAAGCCTAATAAAAGCCTGCTAAACTGCAGAGACAACATATCTGTCCGGATCGCTCCAAAATATGAGGTTTACCGTCAATATCTGTCTAATTGTTGTTACTCCGCTCGCGCCACTGCTTTCCCCGCAAAGCGGCTCCTTTTTGCGCACATCTCGTTACTCATGCAGCCTTCCTCTCTCTCTCAGCTACATAATGATCCTTTTAATAAACTGAATATGTGAGACTTCCACCAACAGCAAAAGGATCTCATGTTTTTGTGGGGGATTTTTTACGTTCACAAGCACATTCCCTCTCACGGATTACTAAACTGCTGTTTAGACAAGTTATCAGATTGTCTAAAAATAGATAATTTTTTAGTTTAGTATAACTCCGCTTTTACGTTGCCTATTAACAAAATGTAAAAACAGGGGTGTAGTTTATAATCTCCTTTTTAAAGCTGAATTGAAACCAAAAGTCAGGGAGGCGGAGTCTTGCTGCTACAGCGTCCCAAATCAGACCTGTTCAAAAGACGCGGATATGCGTCCATGTACCCCAGAGGGTTAATAAAACAATTCAAATCACACTATTTTCTTAGACCGGTTAATAACACAGATATGATTTTGTTCATGTGGAAAGTTTATGTGGTTAAATCCACCAACTACCGGTAAACACATTCTGAACTTCAACACAGCGCATCAGCGCTTGAAGCGGCGCTGCGAGCAGCTGCGACCCAAAAAGTACCAGAACCGCTCACGGCGCATGCGCAATCATGCATCAACACCGCTCGCTCGCTATTTCCCTAATAACACACACTGTTCGTTTATATTTCTACACGTTTTTGTTACAAAGATTGTCAAGAAAGTGTGTTTGTCGTGTTCATGCCAAATTAAACTGATCACAAAACACAGATTTACGTTCTTTATTTTGTTTTCCTCATCCAACGGCATAATTCAATGTAAAATCAATGGAGCAGCGCGACCGTGAGAGACAGGGCATCACACGTCAACTAAGAAGCAGCTGTGCGTCCAGAAAGCACGCAATCACCTCACTTGAGCGGCAGATGCGAGCTGACGAGGCGTGTGTTTTGCGATTGCTGCAGCTGCTGCGTGACGCCTGGGAAAAGGAAAAGCTGACTGCTCAACTTGGAATGGACCTCGCTGAGAGGAATAGAAGATGGAGACTGGATACCCTGGTGAGTTTATATTACTGTTGGAACCCTTCACGATGTACTGTCACCATGGAAACACATATACAGTCTATGTGGATCAGTAGATCCTTGCATGTCCGCCTAGACGCCTGACCAAATCGATTAAAATACTTACATTTAGCCCCGCATTCAACTCTTCCTGCACGCACGGCAAGGTGCGATTGCAGGTGCGTCCAAATAGATGTTTACAGCGATTTTAACGCCAGAATCGCGTGCAGTCTGTAATGGTACGTGACCACCGCACGCGATTCTGGCGTTAAAATTGCTGTACACTCCTCTGTTCGGACGCAGGTGAAGTCGCACCTTGCCGGGCGTGCAGGACGAGTTGAACGCACAGCTAATGTCAATATTTTGACCAATTTGGACGGGCGTCTAGGCAGACATGCAAGGATCTACTGATATCGCATATACTGTATATGTGTTTCCATGGCGACAGTACCTCCTGAACATTCCGACAGCAAAATAAACTCACCAGATGTCGAGTCTCCTCTCTTCTATTCCTCTCAGTGAGGCCCATTCCAAGTTGAGCAATCAGATTTTCCTTTTGCCAGATGCACACGCAGCAGCTGGAGCAGTCACAAATGACACGCCTCGTCAGCTCGCACCTGCCGCTGAGGTGAGGTAATCTCGCGCTTTCTGGACGCACAGCTGCTTCCGAGTTGACGTGTGACGCCATGTCACTCATGGTCGCGCTGCTCCATTGATTTTACATTGAATTATTTCGCAAAACAACCAGAATCGTGTGCGGTGGGCACATACCGTAAGCACTGTAACACAGAAATGAGGTGTTTGTTTACCTTTTGCTGACATGTTTCGGCTGGAACTACCCCCTTCGTCAGAGCCATCAGCTGTTCGCGGCGTCACTTCCGTTTATGTGCGGGCAGCAAAGGACGATGTCGCCCTCTGCTGCCCGCAGACAGCACACAGATCATTAACACAGAACAACAAAAATACAGAAGATGGATTAAGAAAGCGATAGAGATAAGGAGACGTGGACACAACACCATGAACAGGGACGACGGGGTATACATGTTGGACCACGCATGGGACTGTGTCATCAGTGGGGAGGACGCGGGCAGCAGAGGGCGACATCGTCCTTTGTTGCCCGCACATAAACGGAAAAAACGCCAGCGAACAGCTGATGGCTCTGACGAAGGGGGTAGTTCCAGCCGAAACATGTCAGCAAAAGGTAAACACCTAATTTCTCTGTGTTACAAAAGAAAAATGAAGACAATCATGAACACACACACAGAATGAATATACAGAAGATTTTTAAAGAAAGTATTCTGTTCATGAGGGCAAGCATGTTATTGATAATAAAAAAGTACTTTAAAATAAGAAATTCCCTTGGGTCATCTGAAGAAAGCAAAGTTGGGGATTGTATTTGGAATGTTTTCTTGCATCGGTTAAAATGTAATTTACTTCCTTTAAAATCAAATATAATTCAGTTTAACACACTTAAAAAAATTATTTAAAAAAAAATCAACCCAATGCATAAAGAAAGTATTCTGTTCATGGGGCCAAGCATGTTATTGATAATAAAAAAGTACTTTAAAATAAGAAATTCCCTTGGGTCCTCGAAAGAAAGCAAAGTTGGGGGTTGTATTTGGACTGTTTTATTGCACAGCTGAAATTGCACTGTAATTATTTGGCAGATTTAATTTCTTAACATTACTACAATTTTTACCCTTAATGTTATACAAACACAATTGTAAATTTAAGCTGTCCTTGAACTATTTTAAGAAACAAAAACTATTTTGAGGCACAACTAGGGTCTCTTGTGGTATTGTTACCAAGTAATATAAAATGAACTATTATCTTTACATCAGATTTGACTGTAATAAACCTAAACAATGATGGGGGAGGTGGTGTCATGTCTACTGTTTTAATTGTATTCTTTATTAGCAGATAATATTGGAACCTCAAGATTTTTTTAGCATTCCTATGATATAATACTCGTTTACAAAGAGGCTGGCCCAGAAGATACTTAAATTTAAAAACTTACTTGAAAAGCTATGTCTTTTCAGTGGAACACAGGAACACTAATGGGCTGACTTACAGCAATAATGTAGTATTTAATGCAAACGTGATAGGGCCTTTAATAAATAAAATAATAAAAATTAATAATTTAATTAAATGTATACAAAACTCACATTTGCAATTCCAGATGTTGGGTGGTTTTCTACCAGGGACTGAGGAAAAATGAGCAAGAGAAGAAGAAAATTAATTAATATATAAGCGGTTAAACTTTCCATCTATCAAAGTGCCAGTGTTCATTGATAACTTACATTACATTGAACAAGGCAAAAAGGAATCAGGAGAGCTGAAGGGGAAAAGAAAAAATTACAAATGTGTTCATACAACCCCACTTTAAATATTGAATCTGATATTACAGATATGGTGAAACAAAAGACTGGGGGGAAAAAACAAGTTTTTTTACTGACATTACATTTGTAAACATTTTCATTACATTTTATTATTCTAGTGATTAACACCAAATCCTTAAGACTGCCCTTTTTGCACACTAAATGCTGTAGTGTCTAAAGCCGGGCATACACTGTGCGACTTTTTCACTTTTTTGAGCCGATTTTCCAGTCGTGCGAGAATCCACAAGATCGGGGAGAGTTTTGCGCTGAGCATCTTGTAGTGTACAGGGGGTTATGAGAGGCGATTAACACCACGTGACCAACTACCGATTAGCAATCGTAAACTCGCACAAACTTCTGGTGTGTTTGAAATGTTGATCGTCCCTCGTGATGGTATCGCACTGTTGAAGCGATGCTGCGAGCAGCTGCGACCCAAAAAGTATCAGAACCGCTCACGGCGCATGCGCAATCCTGCATCTGCTCGCTATTTCCCTAATAACACACGTTGTTCGTTTTTATTTCTACATGTTTTTTTACTCACAAAGGTTGTCAAGAAAGCGTGTTTGTCGTGTTCATGTCAAATTAACCTGATCACAAAACACAGATTTACTTTATTTCGTTTTCCCCACCAGCCCCCATAAATCCGTGTCCCTGCAGCACTCCTGAAGGACAACAGGCAAGACAAAAAAGTCTGACGTGGAGTAAAAACTGCTATTTTTAGCATATTTTTAGGGCCGACGTGTTGCTATCATACATACAGAGTGAGCAGTCAGGTCACAACAGAGAACTGGGTCGTGCAGTGTGAGCGCATGACTTGTGAGAACTGTGAGAACTGCCCTGCGAGGAAGTCGTACAGTTAAGAGCTGAAGCTGAGTGAAAAAGTCGCATAGTGTCCGCCCGGCTTTAAACGAGTCAAGCTCTACAGTTTTGATAGGGGAAGACAGAAAATCAGACACGAATTTCGGAGATTTTCAAAATACTGGTTAACAAGGAAATAACCGTAACAAAAGTTAAACGGGTTCTAAATTTGACTACACTTGACACTGGGATTGAAGTTAGTTTGTCTGTGGATCTAATTTGCTACTTTTTGATCCTGGACGACGAGAATTTAATCCTTAAAGTAGAGAATTCAGCCAGTTTATCCAACACCACTAGTAATATTTAGGCTAACAGGAGGACATGAAAACTAAGGAGGCATCGACAGAAATACCTTCTGGGTTGATGGTGAGTTTAATACTTTTCATACGTTTTCTTACCTTTTAAACTATCCTCCGATGGAGACGTATTTCTGTCATTTTCATGATCGCGGTACAGAACGCAGCTCAACGATGGGAAGGAAGGGACCATGCAGCCGCGAATGCGAAGCAGGCACGTGCCGAATGCGAAGCAGGCACGTGCCGGCAGGGAGAGAGAGAGAGAGAGAGAAGAATCTACGGGGCTTCCTCAACTGACTTTCACGGGCAAATAATGAGTGTTACGTTTTTACACTCTATGGCGTTGTTGCTAACAACTGCTGGGGCAGAGAAGACGCGTCTTATTACGCATCACGGGAGTTCTGTGATAAGAACCTTTTAAATCGACAAAAACGTAGAAAAATTACCGTTTAATAAAAAAAATCCTTTGTCTAAAAATCTAAATCTCACCAACAATATTCTTGGCACTCACTGTGGTTTTACAAAACCTAAGTTGATACCACTAGCATTTAAAACATATTGAAAAGTAAAGCACATTCATTAATACAGTTATAAAGTCATAATATTACTACATAAAACCATATTTTACCGAAGAACTTACCGTTGTTTCAGCTCCGGTTCCGAGAATGGTGCTGGTAGATGGTCAATCTAGAACTTCAGAGGCGGGAATAAATCTGACGTGATGACGTCATACGCACTAGTTAGTTCTATTTAAATTCAGCACTTTGGTTCAATAAGGAAACATCACTTTGCCCTTAGTTGGGCAGTTTCAAGTTGTTTGCCACCACATTTTTGAGTTGTGATCCTTAACTCAAAAAATGTACATTTAATTTTCGTAAAATATTACATTACATTGACTATTGTTAAATATACTTTTTTCAGTGTTGTTTGTGTTGGAGGAGAAGCCGTCGGATCGCTGAAA